GAGAGAGAGAGAGAGAGAGAGAGAGAGAGAGAGAGAGAGAGAGAGAGAGAGAGAGAGAGAGGGCGGAGTGTTACGTGTTCGTGATGTCGGCGATAGCGGCCGTTAACAGCTTGTAAACAATTTCAATTCTGTATAATAATAAAGATATCAGTGGTGTTCTTCTTCTTCGTGCATGCTGATTCAATCGGTGGTGTCTGGTCATGAGTGCTTGGCGAAGTTTCAGTGTGCTGTGTGATGGGATTTCGGGTTCTTGCAATTCAGGGTTCGTTCCAATGAGTTCTATGAGCAAAAAGGGAGACGGGCCAAGGTGCAATGAATCAAGGGCCCTGGTCTGTTCGATGACAATGGGCCTCTTCACACCCAGTGAAACGAGAGAAAAAAAAACTGCATCTTACCACAGAAGGTGGCAAGATACATCTTTTTGTATTTCACAATAACTAATGTATCTTGCACTCTTCCAAGATGCACTCCTTTTTCTTTGTTTCGTTTGCCGTGTGGCAAGGCCCTATACCTTGCACTCTCTCCCTCCCTCCCTCCCTCCCTTTCCAGGTTCTCAGCGAGCTGGGTGTTTGAGATCTTTTTCCCATCCCCCTTTAGTGACCATCGGGGCCGGGGGGGTTCCAGTTCTCACACTCTGAGACTATATGAACTTCACTGGGTAGTCAGACAGGGTCTTGCTCTTTTGCAGAATTCCTTCAGTTTCTGACAACCATTATAGGGGATGCAATTTCCAATTCCGAAATGCTGACATCCCGGGCGAAAATCATCCAATGTATGCAATCTCTGTTTGTTTGTTTGTTTCAAAGGTTTGCAACTGTCTCTTATACACATCTAGATGTGTATAAGAGACAGCTCTGAGACTATATGAACTTCACTGGGTAGTCAGACAGGGTCTTGCTCTTTTGCAGAATTCCTTCAGTTTCTGACAACCATTATAGGGGATGCAATTTCCAATTCCGAAATGCTGACATCCCGGGCGAAAATCATCCAATGTATGCAATCTCTGTTTGTTTGTTTGTTTCAAAGGTTTGCAATCTCAGACTCTGACTTTGTGGACAGCATGTGCCCAGGGATATCATCTGACAAAAGCTCAGGGATCAAAGTTTCTACCTCTCACTTTTTCTGCTGGGAGCTGTTAATTTTTATTGGGAAGGGGGCGAACTGTCCTTTAAACCACCACTAGCTTTCCCAGCGAGCGTGGAGAATCGAAAACGTCACATTCCAGGTTCTTTGGATGAACAGTGCCACCAGACCACAGTAGCTGGCAGGGCCAGACAAAAGAAAAAGAAAAAACACTGCACTGGCGCTTTGACAAAGCTTGGCGCGCAGTTCTTTTCCGCCTCGCAGCCTCGACAAAAAAAAGAGGCTCAGAGGTAGTGGTGATTTAAAAGAGTGTCTGAAGCTCCCTTTCAAGCCCATAAACGAGGACCAGAAATACAGGACCAGACCCACTGGACTATGTTAGCAAATCTGACAGTCACAGTCAGATGATAGCAATCAACTCCAGAGTCCAAACAACATGAACTTAGTTTAAAAAAGAAAGAAGAAAAAAAAAAGAAAAAAAAGAGCTTAGTTTTGAAACTCACACATAGACACAGCTCAGTTGGATTTTCCCTTCAGTAGAGGGTGGTGGTGTGGACGAAAGGGCCGGTGAGGATGGAAGGGCAGGAGCGGGCAGATCACACAATACCTGCAATGCGTGAAGAACTTCAGGTGAGGGGAGCTCTGGAAACTGTGAATAGTCATAGTGACCTCTCTCTTCCATTGTGGACAGCGGCTCCTGTGCAAGCATGCACAGAAATTTTAGGATGAGCAGCGCCAGGCGATAAACATGGATTGCCAAATCATCCGAGTACTGGCTTGGTCTAGCGGAGTCCTCCTTCCTGTTTCCAACCTTATCGGTGCCCATTTCCCCAGTTGTGCTATTGCGAATGACAATTGCTGTGGAAGATGGTCCGTTGAATGAATGGGTTCGACTCATGCTGAGTGTTTCCCCTCTCTTCACACTTGGGATTGGTGTTGGGACAGGTGCCTTCAGTGCTCTTGCCCTGGAAGCAGAACTGGCTGAGACTCGTGTGGCACCCACTTCACAGATAAAGAACCATCCCTTCTTGCTGCCAACTAGTCCATCGCGCTTGGTCGCCATACGCTCTTCCCTGGAATTTGGGGTGCAGCTGAGACCTGGAGCCCCGGCACCTGCACCCTTGCCCAACCGTCCAGCACCCTCACGAGCGATGTACGCAAGAACCCTCATACACCCTTGCTTGAAGGCATCCTGTGACCCAGGTAACAGATGAGTCCATCGCGCGGTGTGACGTGCCATCCCACAAAGCAGCAAGACAACCCGCTCTGTCCTTCCCAAGGAAGCCATGGACGTGCAAACCCATGGTTCGAACCCTGCTGACGCACCATGCCCTCCTCTGGAGCTTGCGCTTCCTAGAGCTTCTCTACCCTTGCTGATAGTCGCTGCAGGCACAACATGGAAGGCTGAAAGGAGGAGATCAGAATGGGTACCAACAAAGTCGAGAGCATGCTCGACAACGCCGACAGACTCCTCTTTGCCCTCTAGCGTGTCCAGCACAGATGCAACAATCGAGATGGTCAGTTGCCATTCTCCCTCCCGCTCTGCCTCCGGCCTGATGCCAGAGAATGGACCTTCTATTGACTCCGGTGTAAGCCACTGCTTCCTCTCCATTGCTTGGACAAACTTGCTCAGCTTCTTTATGATTTGCACATCCTGGAGAAGACGAGCACCTTCCTCCATCTGCGTCATGGACAAGAAGAACCCCAGGACCGAGTCGTCAAACTGCCGCGGTGATCCTATTAGGAGCCTACCGATGATGTCCGGGAACGAAAAGTGGCGGCTGACAATCGGAAGCCACGTTGGCGGTGCCAAATAGTTCCGGCAAAGTAAATTGATGATCGCAATCGACAAGCTTGAGTAGTCCTTATTAAACGCCGAGAGACAAAGGAGTGGAAGCGCACTCAACCCATTAAGAATGACCTCGGCATATGCGTCAGTTGCATCCATTCCACAGTCCATAGCATTCTCGTGCAATCCCTTGTTCTCTCCGTTTCCCGATTCCCCCATTGACGAGCGCAAATGCTCGAGCACTAGCAGGAAGGCTGAAAGCAACGGGATCACTGACTCCTTCTCCTCCCTCCTGAAGCTGCCTTGGCTGGCCGCATGCACCTTCAACCCAAGTACAGCTGTCTTCACAACCTGAGCGCACAAGGCGACTCCAGCAGCATCAATGCTTCCCCTTTCCTCAGTAGGCATGGGCCCCTTCCCCCTGTAAGACTTAACTCTGCTGTCGTTTGGCTGCACAATTGCCAATGCAAGAGATTCCGAGGGTCCTTGTTCCGTCCGTCTGGCCATTGGGCACCACAATCTGAGGAACACAACCAGCAATCTTGCTTGTGCCGCAGTGATGGAATGAAGGTACCCATGACAAACTGCCGCAGACCCTATTGCTCGAGAGGAATGCTCCAATGCTTTGCACAGCTCATGAATAGAGTCTGCAATATCTTTCAACTTCCAGGAGTCTGCATCTGGTCCCGAACTGCACCGTATCTGCATAAATATGACAGGCAAAGACACTATCAGTCCAGCCCAACCGTGGCCCGCTGCGATTCAAAGGCTACCTCAAAGGACAAACAAACAAGTTCATGAAAGTAAGGCATGCAAAATCAGCAACCCCCTCTTCATCGCTAATTTAGAAGACATTGTTTCTGGCAAAAACTGCCAGCACAGCTCCACGCGTGCTAATATGGGGGGTCTTCGTTGAACATAGAACAGTTGGTAAACTGAGCCAAGTTGGTTGGGTGATAAGGAACGCTGTTCAACGGCGTGTTGAGTTTGAATTGTGTGAAAGCGAGGCCAGAAAAGTGCATTGTATAGCATAGCAGCTGCAAACGGGACTGATGCAAAGAAGGAAGTGATTGGGCAGCTGTGTGTGTCTGTGTGGGTGTGTGTGGGTGCGTGTGTGTGTGCGTGTGGGTGCGTGTGTGTGTGTGCATGTGCATGTGCGTGTGTGTG